AGTGGGAGAGGGAGAAGCAGGCTTCCCCGCGGAGCAGTGAGCCTGATGCGGGGCTCGATCCCAGGACCCCGGGATCATGATCTGAGCCGAAGGCAGGCGCTTAATGACTGAGCCCCCCAGGTGCCCCATCACAGCCTTCTTTTTAGATCAGCAAGCTCCTTAGGTTTTGTGAAATTCAATCTAAGTCCTCCTGGTGAGGACAAGCCACAGGTTGAAGGGCCACGCTCAGAATGGACTTCCTGATTGCTCTTACTCATTGTCATCTCTTCTGTCCTCTGCTTTGGAGCTTATCACACCTGAATTCCCGGAGGTCAGCTCGGGCATGGCCTAACTCGGGGCAGGCGACAGTGGAGGCTGGGTGGCCCAGCGGGCCTGGGCTGGGCTGAGCCTCCTGTCCGTGGATGACTCTGCCCCGCTTCCCGAGTGCAGGACGGCACTGAGGTGGTGGTCAAAGAGGTTCTGGCCGGAGACAGCGTCCACAGCCTCCTCAGCATCCTGGACGTCATCACCGTGAGTGCCCCGGGTCCACCCAAAGTCACCTGGCCAGCAGGCCCTTCAGCGCCAAGGCAGTTCTCCCAGCGGCGGGGGGCTGGCCTAGGATGGGAGGGACCCCCCGGAGGTCAAGGGTGTGTGTGGGAGCAAGTTGAACTGTATGTTTAGGAAGAGCTGGGCATTTGCTTATGTGTTTGGCTGTTTTTTAAATGATTATTTTTTGGACTGAGTAAGATATGCACATGGTTCAAGATTCAAAAGGGACAAACATCGTATAGTGAAAACGTTTCCTCTCACCCTTTAGGCCCCAAGGCTCCTTCCTAGGAGGGGCCCTCTTGCGGATCTTCTGTGCCAACGGGTATCTCTGTTGTTCTCAATCTTCTGCTGTTGAGTGTTGTGGTGAATGGTTTTGTGCGCACATGGTTTCACGTATTTGACTAGCGGAGACTTCCCGGGTGTGAGGGTACACCCCCACCCCCACGCCTGGGCCACGGTCCCGCGGGAGGGCGCCCGTGCCCTCACCCACCAGCCAGGCAGGCATCTCATGTTTGATCTTTGCCAGTCCAGTCAATTACAAAACAACATCTCATGGTATCTTGTAATTTTTAAACTTACTATCACGGGACATTTCTTTTTTTTTTGAGATTTTTATTTATTTGAGAGAGAGTATGAGCAGCGGGAGAGGGAGAAGCCGACTCCCCGCAGAGCAGGGAGCCCAATGTGGGCTCGATCCCAGGACCCCGGGGTCATGACCTGAGCCGAAGGCAGAGGCTCAACTGACTGAGCCCCCCAGGAGCCCCGTCATGGAACATTTCAAACATACGCAAAAGTAGACAGAATAGTAAAATGAGTTATTTGTGCGTCACTAGCTGTAAAATGTCTTGGCTCAGCACACCTGTTCCCTTCTCGTTAACTAGAATTTAATGTCTCATTTTCTTTTTCTTCATACAGTGAAACAGATCTTAAGTGTGCACTACCCGAGTTTTGATAATGCACACTATGTATAGCTCAGACGGTGTATTTGACTGTCCCCTTACCTTCGAGGTTATACCTCCTGCTTTCACTTTTAGCTGTTCATTGAGGCAGCTTGAACCTGTTTCCCCCACACACTGCACAGAGGGGCCTCCAGAGTGGTTTAGCAGACCTTGGCAAGGATGCGTCCACGCGGGGCTAGGAGTCTAGGTACTTGTGTGACACTCACGATGGGTGGGGCCCTTGGTGGGTACCCTCTGATCTAGCCCTGGGCTCTTGTGTACAAGGGAGTGACAAACTCAAGACTTTGGGGGTGTCCACTGTGTTCCCCCATCCCTTTTAGGCTGGCACAGACGTGCTTTGAGCTGTGTTGGGGCCCAGGGTGGAACTGTTTTTTATAGGACTCCGGCATCTTGCTCTGCCCCCAGGACCTGGTGTGTCTTCACAAGACACTTGGCCAGCACTGAGAGAGACACCACCTCCTCTGAGCAAGGCTGACCTGTCTTGAAAGGCCAGTGCCTTTACCTAGAGCATTGTGCTGGGAAAGTGCACCCAGATTGCAGGGCAGGTCCCATGTGGCTCTTGTAGGACTCTGGCTGGTATGTGTCACAATCTGTAAGGTGCACTGGGAGCCTGAGAAGCCCAGGAGGTGTAGACAGATTGTCTACATGGAGATAAATTAGGGAGTTATGCAGCTCTGTACCCTCCTTCTTCCTTGGCGAGGATTAAGCAAAAAATAGCTTTGGTGGAGGCTCTTCTTGGTATTTCTTGTCTGCAGTGAGTCCTGGTCTCACTGTAATTTTGGGCTTGGACACCATTTCTTGCAGCCCCAGGAAATGTGTGTTATGAGCAGGGCCTCCCCAGCCTGCTGCATCCCTGCCCTCCTCCTGGGGTGGCAGCCCATCTCCCTTCAGTGGGGTGGGGTAAGAAAACAGGAGTGATATTTGAGAGAAAATAATTCTGTATTGTGATTAATTGATCATCTGGAAGGACAGAATTTTTGCCTAATATTTGTGTTTATCATTTAAAAAAATTAATTCTATCTAAGTAATATAGACAAATTCTAAAAACAGTTTTGGTGTTTTGTGAATCACAGTTGTCTGCTCGACTGCCCCCTCCCCAGAAAAGCCACTTGCATCTCCTCTAGGCTTTCTGGGCAACCTGCTTTTCTTGCTCTTTTGTAATCCTTCCATCTTAGATTCAAGTGAGCTTCCTGGCCTGGAAATGAGGGCAGACTTTCCCGATTGCTCTGCTGGCTTCCCCACTCCTCCCACCCCAGCAAAGCCACGCTGAAGCAATGTTGTTCACCTCAGTGAGGTTCCTTTCTTGTTTTGCCTGGAGTTAACAGTTGCCTTGGTTTTTGGGTGGCTTAGTTTTTTTGTGTGTGTTATGGTCTGGTGCCCTGCCCCAGTGCCCTGTGAGTTGGGAAGCCCCCGAGCCCCCATCTTCTCGTCCAGCCTGACCTCCCTGGGCTGAGCTCCAGCTCCCCCGGGGTCCCTACTCCTCATCTGGGCCCTATCCTTCTGTCTGTGTGGGGCTCTCACCTCTGCTCCCTTGGCCAGCTTGCTTGTTTTGGTGGAGCAGTTCCTGTCTGCTTCCCAAGAAGGGTGTGAGGGAGATAGAGTTCTGGAACCTTACAAATCCAGAATTGTCTTTATTCTGTGCTGCCTTTACCTTTCTTTGTTTCTTTTTTTTTTTTTTTTAAGACTTTATTTGAGAGAGAGAGCG